CCTATGTGTCTGTAATTTCACCAGCACCCTTAGGGCGAATTTCATTGCGCTCACCCCAAGCGGCCGCCGCGCGGTTGCCGAGTCAGCGTTACGGCCGCGCAGCGATAGAATTCAGATTCGTCATTAATGCACATGAAGGCGTGGTATCTGGGTGGTCACCGCGCGGCGGCCGCGTCTTACCTTATCGGCTCACGCGATGCGCTCCTCCTAACGTAAAATGGCGGCTATTTGGTTTCGCAAATTAGAAAAGCATTCAGTTTAAACACAAGTTTTTATAAATAAAAATTATTATTCTGCATTGCTAAATAAATACCCTCCGTACTACCAACAAAAACATCTCAAATAAAATGCAGTAATGCACCGCAAATCCTGCACTTAAAAAGCACTAATAAAATTTTTGGTGTACTTGGATAAATATGATAATATTCCGTTTGAGTGGTTCTGACGTTTACCATGAAATTACTCCTTAAAGTATAGTTTATAAACATTTATATTCAGGGTAAACTTAAAAAACGCTACTTACGGTATGTTTTCAATAAATAAACACCGAAATCACCAGCCCAAACAATAACACACACGATTATCGTGACGTATGTTTGAAGTTGTTTATTTTTTTTAAATGACAGACCCAGGTACTGAAAACTCTATGGTTTGCTAGAGTAGATACCGAAATAGCAATTAATATTAGTTCTTTTACCTGTTGTAACTTCGATATATCGGTATAAAATCATCACTGGCACCTCTAGGTGTGGTATGCATCTACGGCTGCATGTATCGCGTGAGCGGTTATACACAAAACTAATATATACTATAATATTATGACATTATAGTTGAAATGTCAATTGAATGGTTTTGTAGCTACTATAAAAACAAAGCAGCAGTAAGCTTGGAGATACCGAGACGGCAGGCTTCGGAATGCCTTGTTAGCCTTCGGAAAGCTTCAGCAGGTCTTCGGCCTTCTTGGAATGTGCTTTTTCTTCCACTTCAGCAAGACTACTATTTACTAAATACGTAACTGGTAATGAACTAGCTTGGAATGTTACGACTATTCCAAAAAGAGGCTAGGTACGAGCATGATGCCTCGACAGGAATGCTTCAGCAAGTCTAAGGACACCGCGGCATCATTGCATTTGTCAACCTTCCTCGATAAGCTGGTTTATACGACGTTTTTATTTGCGGTTAGCGAGAGGTGACGGGTGCGTGGTAGAACGAGCATCCGTTTGTGAATATCGAGAAGTTAGTGGAAAATGAACTATTATTCGATCCTAAGCAAATTAACGTTTAAAACAATATTTTTCAATTAAGACACAAAAGTTTATTAAGATCCTCAAGCATTTGCCTAAGGTACTTTGAAAAGTACTTAATGACTGACTACCTTTTCCAAAATGGAAGCCCTTGGATGGATTTTGAATGGATTTTTCTTTTAGATGTTGCTGATTGTACTTTATTATTTTCAACATCACTACTTAATGATAATTATTATACCAACAAACGCTGAGAATGTTGTCATGAATCAGTTTTTTGAAAAGACATAATAAACCAGTCATTCAATGAACAGGTATGTCCTATTGTAATATAGTGACAAAAATGTTGACTTCAATGTAAACAAAATTTTGTTACATATTTTTAACATCAAGTTTGTTTCAATTGCAAGCAACAAATCTACTCTGGTTATCAATGTCCTTGTAAAGTCACTCACATTATTATGTATAGTCGTAGGTGAACATCGTTATTTGTAGTTCATGCGTAATTTTGCAATGTAAGTTAGCAATTTCAATACAGGCAATACCAACTACACAACAACGAGAATATTTATTTTTTGTAAGTATTAGCAGGCGCTTGTGTTTTTGGCTAGTTTAATAGCCAACGATATCAGTTTGTTTATATCATATCTCGAGCTAATAGAATACGACACGGGTGTAGTACACCATGATATGCGGATAATATGTTATTTAGTGGACTTAAATCATTTCAACTCACGCATGGCATATACTTCCAATATGCAGATATTATGTTTATATGCCTTAGTGAAATGGATTCTGATGATTTGAAATCGTAATACATACCTCCATTTTTTTCTTTTTTTTAACAAAATTGAGTTGGAGCTGATAACCTCGACGACATTTCGAAATATTATTAATTCTACTTACGTTCTTTATCCCCGTCGCCATTTGTGGCGTTTACGCTACTTAGTGTAGGGATGGTTTACTTCACGTACACGTGCGATACGTCCGCTCATACAACTGTCTGGTGTCGTCGTGCGGGAACGGCGGGCCGCTGTGTATCTTATATTATCTAATGTCTATGGTACAATTATGTGCATACACTACACCATGGTCACGGTTAAAAAATGCTATTTTGTGGTATAATACTTTTGCTCTGGATAACAAAAATCACATAGTATGTACATAGTTTTTACAGCTAAAGCACTTGTTTATCGTCGTGCAACAAAAAGTTTGGGAAGCATAACAATGGTAAATAGCAGAAATATATACACATTAAAAACTGTACGCGGAAACTTTTAGCGTAAAAATCCATTTCGACTAAAAACCATGAAAGCTTTAAGCCACGTTCATTTCCACCAGGACAGCTGCGAAATGGCCGTAAAAAATGCGAGGCTGACTCATAAATAGTTTACTACTATATGGATTGTCTATTTTTAAATGACTTTAAAACGATTCATTTGAAAAATATTCTCTAAATTTCAAACATAATTTAAGGTAAAGCTATGATAGTGTAGACGTTTTACAATGTAGTTCTATTATACATTATAACGCACCCTTGGTGTAGTGATGTACTTGACAAAAACCCAATGTTTTTTTAAATATTTTTTAAAAAATTCTGTAAAAAAAACGCACGCTCCTTTCTTTGGAAATAGTTTTTTTCTCTTTTCGAAAAAGTGAAATAACAGTAAAAAAGAAAGTATACTAAACGCAAACTGGAATGATTCCTGTGACATTTCATTTTATGTTTGTCATAGGGATGAGGTAAATTAGATAGTTTTTTCAGTGTATTATTTTGATTTTTCAAGTAAAAGTTCTCTCATATGATTTTATTTTTCTGACGTTTCTGAATGATGTATAAGAGTTTAAATCTTCTAAATTAAAAAAAATACATTTATCATAATATTATATTATTCATTTACCTATAGGTTTAAAAAGTAATAACACTAAAAGTGGTTACACACTGCGACTTTTAGCGGCGATGCAAACGCGCGTTTTTGAAACGCGCGATTACATCGCTACACTTGCGATTAATAAGCGATTTCACCGATGCAAACGCGCGATTGCATCGCAATACTTGGGATTTATAGGCGATTGAATCGAAGCAATCGCGCGTTTGCATCGATGAAATCGCGCGTGTAACCGCTCTAACACGTTAAAACATTGTCTATGATTAACATTCATATCTTAAGAATAAGTACCCGCACTATACATTTCTTCATTAAAATATTGAAATTTTTTTTCAATGTACCTCATCTCTAACAAATGCAGTGTCATGAAGCAACCTTCGCACGTAGTGCAAAATTAATGAACTTTTGAAAAAAAAATGTTCTTCGGCGTATTTCTCACAAAAAAACATTATTATGGTATTATTTTTACATTAAATTAATGTATTTACTTAAACTAAGACTTCATTTGAAAGCGACGCTTATAAAAATAGATTATTTTATACGTAAATTAGTGCACGTCGTTACAAGGTAATATTATGTAGATTTTCATCATTTCACAGAGATCATCCTAGATTATTTTTAGTATGACTGCGAATATTTTACTATATGAATACTATAAATATGAATTTCCAATTTAATGATCACTTGACACTAGTCTTAACAGCAAAAAATAGTTCGTTGCACTGCACTCAACTCAAGAAAATTATAATCCAAATAATAAAAATTACGAATATTTTGCGGAATTTCCCGTCCATAGATATAAACGTATATATATAGATATAAACGTCACAGAGAGTTACCTACCAGAAGTCCGAAATGACATTTTCCAGAAATCACGTTTGCTCGAATTTGCATAACCTCAAAAGTAATTTTGTGAGGAAAATATTTTTTCATTTACACCTAGCATAACCTAACCTAACCAAACCTAATCGTGTCATTGTGATGAACATCCAACATATCCTCAAATAACAAAGGTTTCGTTATAATTCGGTTTTCGGGTCAATGAAAATTCGAACAAACGTTATTTCGGAAAAAATAAATTCGAATTTGTAATAAGTTACCGTTAGAGAGTATTGCTCAATTTTATCTTGAGCAATGATAATACTGACAAAAGAATTAGTGTAGTCAAACAAACATAAATAGCATATGTCACATTTCTATTTTCATACTTTTAGAAAAAAAAACAACTCCAGAAGAAAATTACTACTGACTTACAAATTACAGTCAATGAAGATACTACTATTCTCCAAATAACGCTACCAGCCCTCATATTTAAAATACTTTTTTAAATATTTTTCTAATTTTTATCCGGGCACAATTATACTATATTTTAACCGACTTCAAAAAAGGAGGAGATTCTCAATTCGACTGTATGTTTTTTTATGTATGTTACGCGATAACTCCGGTATTTGTGAACCGATTTTCATGATTCTTTTTTTGTTGGAAAGAGGGTACCTCCATAGTGGTCCCATTTCATTTTGAAGAAAATTATCCACCTCTAAGGGTGGCTGATCACGCATGAACATTCATTTTTATAAATATAGCCTAAATTTTACTTAATTAATTTAATTAAAATTAAAATTTTTGCAATTCAATAAAATTATCTAACTAGGGGATATTTCAATAAAACTAGATGAAAAAAATAGATGTAATTCTACGTACTTTTGAGGTCGGTTTTTTAGTACTCTGTACTGAGATTATATAACTGTCAACTTTGTAAAAACTTTTCAGAAATACATAAGTCTATTATGAATTAAATAAAAGTTTTCATGTGATTGAAATGATTTAATTGTCTATTTAACAAAAATCTACAGGGTTATGCAATTACGTCAAACTGAAACATGTAACCACTCATTGAAGATTTATATCCATGGGTAAGCTTGAATTAATCGAATCAGGGAAAGCTCAGCAGGGATAACACTCGCCTCCCTTTTTTTACTTTTACCTTTTTTTAATAAAACTATAATGTCAACCCTCCAACCTGGATCAAGCTTTTTCAGAAGACGCTCCAACGGCATAAGAAAACATCTTGATGTAAACTCCTTGTACAGACAAGGCTTTCAAAAAATCCTCGAAGACGTTCGTTCATCCGGACGAACAGGGTACTATCTCAAAAACACATATTTTTCAGGAGAGCAATTTTAAAGTTTTTTACAGCATTATTTCAGCCGCTATTGTTATTTGTTCTCCTCACTTAAGCTTGAATTGATCGAATCAGGGAAAGCTTAGCAGGGATAACACTCGCCTCCCTTTTTTTATTTTTACCTTTTTTTAATAAAACTATAATGTCAACCCTCCAACCTGGATCAAGCTTTTTCAGAAGACGCTCCAACGGCATAAGAAAACATCTTGATGTAAACTACTTGTACAGACAAGGCTTTCAAAAAATCCTCGAAAACGTTCGTTCATCCGGATGAACTGGGTACTATCTCAAAAACACATATTTTTCAGGAGAGCAATTTTAAAGTTTTTTACAGCATTATTTCAGCCGCTATTGTTATTTGTTCTCCTCACTTATGTGCCTTAATGCCTACACATCTAACAGTATTTAGAATATTCGAATACTTCTCATTCATCATATTTGTGATTCAGAGCTTTAACTAAACTATTCCTGATTAATACTTTTATATGAAAGGAGGAATAATATTCAAAACTTTGAGGAATATAGTAGCATCTAAAAAATTACTCTATACTATAGATTACCATAACAATGCAATGAAAAAAAAATCTCAAAGAGGTATTGAAATAATCGTCTCCATTTTAGAAATAAATATTTTTAAAATGCACTTACCTTATAATGAACACATGCTGTGTATTAGTTTTAATACCCTGTTCAACGGACAACGAAGTCTTGACGACTGCAGCTTCGTGTGTAATATTGAATACGACTGTGTTGCTCAATAGTTGGGGTCAAAATGTACGAAAAGTTCAAAGACTACCTTGCCTGCCGCGCCATTTCACGTCCAATCATTATAAGACATTGTTCATTAGAAAGATCTCGATTTTTTTAATAGGACTGCATTTTAAATTGCTCGACTATGTACCTCTGCTTATTCTTTTCAGCGGATTTATGGTATATTTCAGGTTCATCATGCTCATGTCAGGACAGATTGTGTGGAATAAGGTGCCAGTTGATGCAGTCGGCTAAGCGTCGTCGTGCAATGAAGGGCTGCCAATGCAACGCTTGGAGGCCTTCTTGCATGAGGATAAGGAGGAAAACAAGCTATGTGAGGATTTGACTTAATTTTACCTAATTCCAAATGCCAGATCTTGCACAAGAATATACATCGCTTTTATTATATCTGATATTTTTTTCACAACCGAGTAAGGAGTATTTTTTCGTAATGTAAGACGTAATAATTTTCGATCGTCATATTTCCGTCCGTCATATTGATTTGAGAATAATTATAGGTTTTTATGTCTCTGCTTTATAATAAAAGTTAAAAAAGATATATGTGCGTATTATCGTATTATCCAGAGGTGTTATTTTGTTTTCAATAATATCAAAGAAAGTTTAGTAAATAGTATAGTACTTCAGTCGGATATAATACATTTCATATTTTATGATATTCACAGATTGTGTTTTGTATAAGAAGCAAATTTTCGTAAATTGAATGATTTTTCATCAGATTTCAGTGCACAAAATTTTATGATTAAATAATTTTTCCATTGGCTTCCTTTGACCTTAATAATCTTAAGTCATAGGTCGAAATTAAAAAAAATAGGCTTCGCCTTCATCTGCAGAATTGGTTTTTTATGCTAGTTTCAAACTTCATGCATATTGGTTGACGTACGGCCGGGTAATTCTAAATTTGAGCAGGTACCAAGAAAGCTTTGCTGGCTGTGATTCGGTAAAATTTCCAGTTACGAGTTTATAAGATATAAAACATTCCTTTTCCTGCAAAATTTAGGTAGATAAACACTTTATTCAGAAATCGCAGAATTAAAAAAATATCACAGAAAAGAAAAACATAACATGATGGTCATAGCAGTGAATGGACGCTGACTCAGCATATGCCATAGTTTCTGGTTTTTAGTTTTCAGTCAGAACCAACGAGAAGGATTGAGTTACTTGTAAGCAAAAATACAACAACTATGCATAAAGTTTTATATTGAAATAATATACATAGTAAAGCGTAAATAATGCATCTAAAATAACCTATTTGATATGTAAGTGCATGGGCGAATAATATATAAGTACAGCTATAGGAGGAAAAACCGAACATTTATTCATAATTTTCATACAATGTTGTAGCATATCGTCGGTTAAAAGGTAAAACTCACTAATAGCCTAATTGGCCAAAGGGAGATAATTAAGATTTTGTATTTTTTCATTATGAAAAATCACTAAAGGACTGGTATGTATTAAAACATGAAGGACACCACAGACTTACTGAATTTTTCTTGTCATAGATGTTCTTCCCAATAAAGCAAAATTGAAAAAATCTAGTTTTTGAACAAAATGTCACTTAATGAGTTTTACCTTTTAACCGACGATATTATAGTAGCAGGTAGATACATAAAGAAGTAAGAAAGTTTATAAATAGAATTTTTTGAATTTCTTTGAATTGCTAAACTTTTTCTTTGGCAGAAATAACTGCCAGCCTTGTGGTCATCGGAGGCTTCTACGAGGCGATCCGATACCTCGTTCGCTAGAAGTTTCGCCTGTGGCCCCCAGGGACCCAGAATTGCAACTACAAAAGGCACAAAACGTGTAGCACTGAGCAAGGTTGCCGTATTTGAGCCTTTTGCGGTTCTCGGCTGCTCTGGCCTCAGAACCTGCGCCGCCCACGCTTGTAAAGACAGGTTGCGTCCCACACTAGCTGTCTCTCTATGGACCGACAGTCATACCGTCAAGCCTCTTACCGTCACTACGACAGATGTCAATGTGCTCGAGAACCTGCCGGTATCATAGCGCTGGTGAAGGCCTGTACGATGATGCTATTGAGAGCTGCTTGTCGGGATATGCGGCCACCGCTTCGAGTACACGAGAGGCCATGGTCACCAAACTCGTTAACAGCATCACCACACTTGCGTTGTGACAAGATTTTAGCGTTGTATAATATATTTAGTATAATAATATAACGTGAATAGATCAAAGCAAAAATAAAATTCCATTCTAGACAGACCAAGGAAAAGAAAACAAACACTACACTGATTTTTGCAGTGAGAGTAGTGCTTAGTAGAAAGTAGTAGTGCTTTGAATTTGAGTTTAGATGTCTCGTCAGTTATAGGTGTAATATTATTCCAGCACTTTGACAATTCTATGTTGTTTTACGATAAGTACACATGATCGGACAGATAGCTCTCTGTAGCGTACATTAACAATAGATGACCACATTAATAAATTTATGCGTTCTTTTGTTTACAGACCTGTTCTTGTAACCGTCGTAGTCGCAAAGACAAATCGATGAGTATAGTTAGATGTGGAGAAGCACCTAAAGAGTGTCCCGTGCACGGGCTAGATAAAGTGAAGGGTCCACCAAGCAATACTAATACGTGCAGCGCAAAGGGGCCAGATCGAAAAAACGTCTGTCGTTTCACAGTTGATGCCTATTTCACATGAATATATTGTTATTTTAACTTTATAATCTGATTTTTTTATGGATAAGATCGCTACTTTATATGCTCAGGCCACACAGAGCCGGCCGCGGAAGCGTTCAGGGCACGGTTATTTTTGTAATGTACATGTTACGAGCCGCGGGTCAGCCGCGCGTTTCAGTGTGGCAGGGTTCATATGAACTCATAAATTACACTGTTGAAGTACATTTAAGCCATCGTCAAGGTGAAATAAACATTTGCCAAGTTCAGAATCCGGCCGGATCGGATTTTTTTCTGAGTGTTCGATTTTTTTATTAATAATTATAACAAACTAGTGAAGTAATTTCACGTAAAAATAATTGAATAACAATTCAATAAAAATTTAAATACAATGAACAGCTACATCTCTAACCGGGGCTGGTAGCTGTAAAGGTATCTAACTGGGTGACAAAATATCATAGATTTCTCATGGATGGCGCTACGGTTAAAAAGGTTAAAAAAAAAACAAATACAAAGATACGACGCAAGCGCACATAAAATTCGTGAGGTCCGCTGGTTCGTTCCGTGGCTTAGTTGGTACAGCGTTTGGCACGGTATGCCAGAAGACGTCGGTTGGAAACGTCGAGGTAAATAAAGTATGTTTTATACATATAACTGCCGCCGTGGCCGAACCCGAGAGGTCCCGCTCAGAGGAGAAATATTTGTATCACCTACATTTATTTCTCTCGTGACTTCGGGTGTTCTATGTATGTGTTCATGGCACCCGTGACACAGGGTTTCTCTAGTGCAGGGCTATGAGTGAGTACGTTATTTATTTATTTATAATTAGGTACAGAACTAAAATTCCAATGCGAAATTTCATTGAAATATCTGTAATCAATCACAATGGAATGAATTTTCCGCAGGTGAAAGTAATAATAATAATAATTCATTTATTTATTGAAAACACAAGTTATATAGAAGCTGACATGTACAAAATACGTATAGTTTCACTGTGTCGTTAGGCATACAAATATTAAAGGTATATATACATTCACTCACATGCACTTCGACAGACTAAATCAGGTGTAACATGCTTCGTTTTTCAATAATATTACTATATATTACAGATTATATTACATAATGTTCCTTGCAGCATAATACGCTGCATGAACATCTTTTTTCTTAATGTTCTTTGTCGTTTTGGTTTGGAACCTTTTTGTTGTTTAGTCAGGCGTTTCTTGAAATTTAAAAAGGTTGGGTTCTTTTTGAAGTCTGTTTATTTCGTAGAGGGATTCTTTTTTTTATTCTCCCTCTACGGCTCAAACTATGGAGACTAAAGGATATGTTTAAATCAGACGTTATAAGTATATAATGCATTTCGACATCGAAAACATAAACATATTATTGTCTTTGTTTAACTATTACGTGCCGTCTTAAGCCAAAAGAGATAGCATTACGTTGGTCTATGTCAAACACGGGAATCGCCAATAGCCAACCGTGTCCATTTGGTAGTACATGAGGTACATGATACCGTTGTCAAAGGGAAGTACATCAAATGTCAAAACAAATGTTTTCCAAATGTACTATTGAATTATTCGCATGTATTATAATTAAATTGGACAAAAATATTGACAGTAAGAATAATTAGGTATTAATAAAAATGCGACGCCGCAGCATTAGCATGTCGCTTTAGAAAAAGTGCAAATCAATCGAATGTTACATTGCACAGGCATGTGTTATTTTTTTGTCTATAAATCACACAATAGCCCAAATATTTCATGTAATTAGTGTAATTTTGCTTTTGTTACTTTAGATTGCCTGTTTGTTTGTATAATTTGATGATTGTCGTTAACGATTATTTTGAGATAGTGTTGATCTTGTAAGCACACATATTATCGATATTCTGTTATTAAAACAATTCACTACGAGGTTTTTATTGTTTTATTATTATTATTTTTATTATTTCAAGTTTTCCTACAAATGAAAAAAGGAAGAAAGAATGGTTGGAAACAATAGGACTGCCGAATATAAATGTTGGATCAAAGACCATCTTCATTTGTTCGCTTAATTTTGAGGAGTCAAATTTTGGCAGAACTTTGAATGTAACTAGATTACATGACAATGCTATTCCAAGGCTATTCCATCATTAGGTTTATTGATAAATAATTTTATATTCAATTTAGATTAAACAAGACTCATTTACTAGTTTTTCTCAGTTCCTGAAAACAAAATTATCCACTCGTTTCAGGGGGTCTACTCTCGATCTCCGTCTGATATCCGTCCGAAACAATTACTGCCAAATAATTATATGCATATGCATATGCAATGCATACTGGTTTTATAACGCTATTAAAAAAATATTGCAAAACACATAATAAAGAAGTACATAATATTATATATCAACAAAATGTCATGTTTTTCTGTTTCTGGAATAATCAGCATCCACCACCTTCTTTTTTGTCATTTCTTTTTACAACTTTATGCGAGGTTTCGCTGACATGATAATTATAGGCGCCCATTAACAAATAGCAGGAGCATTCTCGTTTCAATGCACAATAAAAACTGACAGCGACTAACGTGTGGGCAGCTACACAAAACTCTTGTGCAGTGTTTGTTTGTATTGATCTTTTTCAAACTTTGTTGAACGTGTAGACGGTAGTATTAGCTGTGTATTAATTTGCCTGCGCTCGCGTTGACCTAGGCTCGACCAATATGTATTTGTAGGCTTACATGTTTACTCTATAGCCAACTGTACAACCAAATACATCTGGAATGTTAACTGAACTATTAGCGGACGAAGTCGTGGGAAAAAACTAGTACATGATAATTGTTGATTTCCGATAATTGATTTTTACAACTATTTCCATTATTTCTGTGTTAAAATTGCTTGATAGATTCATCTGCTTAAGAAAGCCCGGGAATTAACGGGAATACTAGAATCCGCAGAAACCTGAATAGACTTGTATTTGACAGTTAGTTAAAAGACGTTACGTAAATATGTACTATAATGTAGGTTAAAGGCGTACCTCTTAAAGTAATTTTTATATTTTATTTAGTAATTACAATTAATACTATGTAATGTTATATATTGTTTTGCTTAGAAAATGAAACTATTTTTCCGAATTTAAATCACGTGTACTTGTTTTTTCAAACAAACCAACGTTTCGGGCACAGGTCCCATGGTCACGGTTGACTGAGGTGGTACAGTCATCAAACATATGTTATGTCTAATATTAATGCAAACCACCCTATTTGTTCACTATAGTTACAAAAGTTACTAATTAAATAACTTATTTTACAAAGAAACATTCCAATTTACGCTACATTATGTTTTACACATTATTTTATTTTAATAATATGAATTTTTGTTAAGTTAAATTTGTTACGGAGAAACATCTTCCCAGTTGAAATTAGGATGTTTCTTTTTCAATGGCCTCACGCAGCATGCAGGGTCGATAACGGACTTCTTTTGCAAGGACCTAAGGTTTGCCAAACTTCATTGAATGTGTAGGTTTATCCATGACATGCTCGCAGACTGCAGACTTGTTTAGGTTTGTTTTACCTATTTAGTACAAGCAAAAGTCATACTTATTTGCGATTACGGCATATCTCCCTTTATACTTAAAATGTATATTTAATTTCTATGCCTTTTACGACAAGACGGCAAGTCTATAGCTCTGGCAGCTGTTGACTGTGCTAAATGGGTTTCATAATTAAGACGGCGGCTTAGCGAGCTCTCCCAACAAACATTTAATTGTATTTTGTATACTAACTAATCTATGTCATGTCAATCAGCAGCAGTAGAGCTCCTTGTGAAAGAATTCGTCTTAGAAAGTACTGCTGTTTTATTTTTATTTTTTAATTTTAAATGGGGTACAATATGCTTAACTAAACATTGTCCTACAAAATTGTATAATACAGTTTGACTGCAGGATCGAAATGAGTCTGAATTGAGCAAACCGTTACAAACACACTCAATGTGGTCAAAAATAGCTGTATACCTGTATACCTATCTGTAGTGAAATGCCGGTGTAATATGTTAATCGATATTAAAGTTAAATCAGTGGATGGCGCGACACTATTTATCTTGCACACAAGACATGCACATTATACGTACACAGATGTATTTTTGTGTTGGTCTCGTCTCCAATACTTCAGGGCCAATCTATGGATATACTAAATCTATGGTTAACATTGTCAATTTAATGTCAACCATAAAAAGAATAAAATATACTCACGCATTTATATTACATAAATAAGTAACGTACGACAAATCGTGTAGTTGAACGTGCCATTATCTTTTTTTTTCATCGAAAGAAAAAGTTAGGTGCACCACAGTCTATCGTCAAGTTCGAATTTCAAAAACCTTTTCTACGCTAGCGTGTAAAAAACGCTTTCGTGCGTCGATTTATAATGAGAAAGAAAGCCTTTCCGAGCTAATGAGGTAAAAAATATTTTTTTATTACGAACACAGAATCCTTAAGATACCGGACTAGACTCATTCATTATTTTGTTTATTTGGTAATGAACTATTGTCATACATTTTGAAGAACAAGGATAACAATACGAAATTGCGCATATACCTGAGCATTATTCTATAGTGTTTGGCTATATTTATTTATAATTTTACACCAAAAATCATCCTTTGAAACGCCAAGCCGATTGATGTTGGTTCGTTTGACATCAAACGGTATGAGCACATGTGCGAAGGACACACGCTCGCGCTTGCTTTCACGGGTCACGTGACTTCACATGAGCTCTCAAATCGTTTAAAGCCAAGCAATTATTTTTAGACACCCAAACTTTAACAAATTAACAACATTATTTTTAATACTAGCTGGTGCTTGCGACTTTGTCTGCATAAAACAAATATTTCGACTACTTATTGTACTACTTAGTAAATTATTGGTTTTTCATAAAAACATCCCCTATTTCACCCCTATTAAGACTTACTTTTGACAGACTTCAAACAAGTCTAAAAACACACGTCCGGTCCTGATAGGAGTACTGCTGTCACTTATGGGATGGCTCTGCTAAATACCA